ATCTGTCCGACACTGAAAATCCGTTGTATTGTAAAATTCGTTATATCAAAATTCGCTGTAGAAAGAGTTGACTGTATATGAGAATCTCCTATATCTATTTTAAGTGAGACATCCTGATTGCTTGTAACCATATACTCAGTATAATCATTTATCATATAGTTTCAAGACCTTTGCATTTTATAACTACTTTTCCTTCTGTTATAAGGGATTTAAGATGTCCATTATTCCCTACTAGACATTCCAGTTTCATTCATAACAATAAGCTTTCGAGCTTGAATAGCATTATTAAAGCATCCAAAAAATTTTCAAATCTAATATTGTGAAATGAAGATGTTGCCCCAAAATTTTGTCATCAAATAAAATCAGTGATAATATTTTTCTCACACTATTGTAATGTAGATTTTAGTATTAAGATAGTTCAGGGTAAAGATTAGAACTGTATCATAAATGGTCACCCAGATATCTGTATAATTTTTAAAATCGGGTATCCAGATGAATTCGGATTATATATGTAGCAGTATTTGAAACTAGTATGGTTATTAAACTGGGTTAAATTTTAATTTTTATATTAAAAAAAATTTTTTAAATAATCGTATTATAAATCGTAATTGACTTTTTATTTAAATTTTTAATTTTATTAATAAAATGAAATATCATTGACTAAAATATATGAATTGCATTTGAATTTCTTTTCAAAAATATCATTTTACCTGCCAGTTTTGAATTTAAATGTGTATGTTTAGCCATAATTTGGTTACCTGCATCAGAAAACAACCTTTCACTAGGTACCGAAGAACTGGGAATTGATAAATATTTTTTGGCTAATTTAATTACATTAGGAAATTGAGTTTTCCAAACTGCCTATCATTTAAAAGGATTCACATTATCATCAGCAATTGGAGTACGAATAGGATTTAAATAACATTCTAATTCAGAAAAAGGATTCATTGTGATTGCTTTTATACCAAAAATAGAAGAGTGCAATCGACTATGACATGAACTAGATTGTTGTTGACTTAAACTACCAGATGATAATAATTGTGCTGAATTTGAATCAATTAATTCTTTAAATTGACACATTAACTCAGTTTTTGCCTTATCACATATTTCATCATTCTAATTAGAAAGTGTTTTCAACTGTGAATCCAAAAGAGATGCTAAAAGACCAATCATTATAGGTTCATTCCAATAAGTAAATAAGGAATTATATATAGTTTGTTTCATTATTTTAAGAATATCTTATGCAGGTTGAATAGTTGCTGCTGCTGTTTTAGATCGGGTTTGGTGATGATATGATGTTAATTGTTCTGGATTATCAAGCTCTAAGTTATCTTTATCATTGCTATCACTTTCTTCATCTGATTCTTTATGCTGAAAATTTGGAACATCTATAAATATGTTATAGTTAGCAAATAATATAAATTCAAATATTATGACAAAATATACCTTGTTCTATTTCTAAGATATCATCATCATCTTCAGAAGATTCATATGCATATTTAAATTTGAGAACTTGGATTAAAGGATAAATCATTAATAAAGTGGCATAGGAAGTTCCACTAAAGTAAGTAGTAGCATCATCAAATGGCTCTAATAAATCCACAATTTGCTTCAATAAGTCCCATTCATGAGGTAATAAAAGCTGCTTTTTAAGTTTTCTTCCATCTGCACGATCATTAGCATTATCAGATATAGGTAAAGTTGCATCAAACCATTCAATAGCTTTGCGTAATTTTAATAAACGATTTCAGGAATGATATTTAGAGTTCCATCGAGTTTTTATATCAGCAATATTTCGCAAAATTGGTTGATTTGAATTGGTTGAATCTAACATTGGTAATTCATTTGTACTATCATCAGAATCATCATCAGTAAAACTATCAGAAATATTTGGTATAGTTGTATTATTAAACCATTGACATTCTTTTTGTGCATCATCAAGGCATTCACTTTGTTTAGGAGAACTTGTAAAAAAGTGTACTAAATGTTTAATCCGCTTAATATAAACATTTGTTTTTTTAAATGCGCGATAAATTGAAAATTGCAAGGTATGGGCAGCACAAGGTAAATGAACCACATTATCCCATTGATCAATTGCATTAACTATATTACTTCCATTGTCAGTTACAACACAGGTAAATTTTCCTTCCAACCCAAATTCAACCACTTTTTTTTTTAAAAAAGATACAATATTTGTTCCAGAATGTGGATATAGCATTCGTTCCATAGAAAGAAGACAATCATATACTTCAAAATCATTTAACATCTAATGTAAAGTTACACTAATATACCCATGTTTACTTTTAGCTGTCCAAAGATCAGTTGTCAAAGAAGCTGATTCATAAGTATTTTCAAGTAATATCTTTAATTCTCCAATTGTATTGGTATATCTAATATGAATTTCTTTTTTTATTCTTTTATTAGATGGAATTGGAAATGCAGGATCAATTGTCATCATCATTTTTCAATAACCCTTGCCTTGAATAACATTAATTGAAAGGTTGTCAATAGTTATCCATTCAGCAATAGCTTGTTTAATTTCTTGATTTCATGGTTTCTTATGTGGTTTAATCTTTGCCTTTTCCACTACTTGTGGTATAGTTAATTGAATAGAGTTATCCTTCGGCTATATATAATATAATTAAATAAATAAAATATTAAATTTATGATAAATATATATTCTTTGTTTAAAAAATTATAATATTATTATTTATTACCTTATTCATTTTTTCATGAATGTCATACTTTTCACGAAGATGGTTGGCCATATTTCCTGTAGATCCATCATGTAAAAATTGCTGACCACAACATATTTCTTCATTTTGCAAATTTATAACCAAAACTTGACAAATATCATACTCATTTTCTTGGATCATATATTGCCATACCCAACTAGTTTTACTATATTTGCATTTCGATTTACATAATTTTATTTTTTTTGTTACATACGATTGACCTTCATCAGGAGAAACCGTTAAAGCTGATGGAACAGTTGAGGGAGTAGTTGAAGAGCTCTATTAGAGCTAGTGAAGATATCATTAAAAGTATTATCTATTTCTGAATCTGTATCAGAAATATTATTCCTATTATCATCTATTTTAAATATTTTTATAGCTATTAAATAGATGAAAAATAAGCATAAAAAAATTAAAGAATCTTTTATAGTAAATGAAAGATAAAAAATTTTTTTTGTGGCAAATTGAAGGTAAGTATAGCAAAAAAAAATTGGAATTGATTTTATGGCAAACTGAAGGTAAGTATAGCAAAAAAAAATAAAAATTCTTTTTTGTGACTGATGATCAAAAAAAAATGATCTCTTTTTAGGGCAAATGAAAGGTAATAGTGAAAAAAAAATGAATTCTTTTTGGGGCAAACGAAAGGTAATAGTAAAAAAAAATGAATTCTTTTTGGGGCAAACGGAAGGTAATAGTAAAAAAAAAAATTCAAAAAATTTTTTTTTTTATAGTTGTGGCAACAGGAGAGAGAAAGTATTTTTTGTAATAGAGGAAGGAAGTGTGAAATTGTAAAATTTAAACTTTTAACACATGGTAAAGTTAAAATAACAATATTAAAACTTAATGTAGTGAAAGTTTCAATTTCTTATTTATCGTTTACATTTCAAAAATCAAAACTAATTTTTTTATGATTTTCTTTTTTTTTTGTATTTTATATAGTTCAGTAAAACAATCTAGATTGGGATATATAATCCTGGCCAGGTTATCGACCCAGTTTGATAACCCAAGTGGTTTAACACGGATATTCAAATTGTCAAATATTAATCTAGATCAAACCGATTTAATGCGGATGACTCAGGTGAATATTAACCAGTTCTAATCCCTAGTTCAGGATTTCTTTTCTGACTTCTGCACTAAATATGCCCAATATTTCCAAAAATATTCATGAAATTTCACATTTTCATTACTGATTATATTTTTTGTATGTCAGAGAATCAGATCCATAATTTCTTTATTTATCTCTGCTACTGGTTTAGCTAAAAATCTTATGAAAAGGTTAAAGAATTTTGTATCATAAGTTGGAGTATTTAACAGATATGGATAAAAATTAATATTGCGATAAAGGATTAGACCTTTAGTAACTGCTTGAGATATCAATGATTTTAACTTTATTAATTCACCCTATACTTAAGTATATTGATTTTATAGTCGTTAAGATCTAGTTTTAGCATTATATCAAAATAAAGTCCACCATTCATATCCTTTATTTTGAGCACCCATAATCTTGATGTTATTTGAATATAGGCAACTATTACCTAAATTACTTCATAAACTTTAATGCAGGAGAATTTATTATCTGAAGTACATATATTAATTATATCATCCTATACAAAGTAATGTTTAGGATTTAAAATTCTAGATTGTTCTAGTTTTACAGAACTTGAAAGTTTTTATTTTCGATTCAAGGCAGTTTCGCTAATAGTAAGTTTTTTCAAAAGCTTTTTTGTCTCAGGTTGCCTATCTTGATTTGTACTGCAGCAGAAAAAGTTGTAGGATTTTTTATTTTGAATAATATATATATTATCACTATCATATTCTCAGTCACATATTAGGCAATGTGATGAAAAGGTGCGTAATAGTGAAATTTTGCTAGGAAAATATTTAGATAGATATGAAAGACTATACCTAGGGTTGGGAATTTTGTATGTACTAGATAAATTTAACACTGTACTTGTACTGTACTTGTACTAATTTTTATATTAATTATTATAATGTACTAACTGTACTAATTGTACTAATTATTATACTAATACTGTATTTCCCAATTCTGATTATAGTATTAGCCTAAATTATCATAAGTATTGACCAATTAAATCATATTCACATGATTTGATTTGATTTCAAATTTAAGTTAATTATATAAAAATCAATTATTTATAACTTTTTATCTATAACTTCTTTTATAAATTTGATTAATAATTTAATAAAGTTACCAGTTTATTTTTTTAAATTTTATTTTTTAAAAATCTTGAAAGATTTTTAAATGTTACATTTTTATTATTATGTATAAACTTCTTGCATCATATTAGGATGAGTAATGAGAACATCATCAATCATGGTAAAAAGAAGTTTTTTATTATTAAATTCAATAAAAATATTAGCATTGCTATTGAAAAGGTTCCAATTAAGATTGATAAATCCAAGTTTATTATAAAACAAGTATTAATTAGACTTAATTAATTAAATTTATTATCACTAGGTAAAATATTAGCAAGAATAATAGTAAATACATGACCTTTTTCATTTGAAGAAAACATGTGAGATATATGATTAAGTATATATTAAAGATCATTTTTATGTTGTTATTGTTGAATATTCACTATTGAAAAGTTGATCTACAAAGAATTATCAAATGATCTACAGAAGTTACTGAAATTAATTTTATGTCAATCACAAATTAGAAGATTTGCATAATTCTGAATCCATAAGATTCTTAGGATTCATCTGATAAGCCTTATAAGCTGATTAATTGTTATAAAGCTTATTTTTATTATTTTTATTATTATTATTATCTTTATTATAATTATTATTTTCGTTATTATTATTATTATTATTATATTAGTATTTGTAATTACAAATGTAGTTAATTTATAGCATAGCAATTAGTTAGCCATAGCAAATTAATTTTGTATAAATAGAATAGCTTTTTGCTCTAGTTGTAAATTAACTCATTTGTGAGTATTAACTCTCTTGTAAGTTCTAAAATACTTGTGAGTTTCAAGTAATAAATAAAGGAATTAACTTTGAAAAATAATTACTTTTCCCTTCTATGTATTCATTATCTAGGATTTGATTGTGAAATACTACACTAACTTACTTTTGAGTTTGTTATTTAGAATAAACAAATTCTCTACGTTTTTCCCTAAATCTCTAAACCTTTAAGTTTGTAAAGTCAAGTAAAGTAATTCTAAGGTATTCTGAATACCTATAAGACGTGAGATTCCCTAAGATTGTAAAGTCTGATGATAAGAAATTTACTTACCGTAATAAAGTAACTTAGTGAAAAACGTGCGATAGAAAGAAATTATTCCTAGTGATAATGTATAATATTATCATACATATTAATATTAGTATTATATACAGACGTATCTGTATTAAAATTAGAGTTATTAAAGATAAAGCTATATTATCATATGTTGAATTTGTAATTAATGCGTAAGATATCATAACTGGATTATTATTATTAGAAGGTAAAGAAAACATGTATATTTGTTGAATATTAGATATATTTATTTTATTTACATGTTTGTTTTCATATTTGATGTGTAGAAGTATTATTTTTTGTTAATATAATAGCTTCAGTGATATTACCATTTGGTTAGAGAAAAAAAAGAGAAGTCTTTTATAATAATTATTGATAGAAAAGTCAATTTCTTTATCTTCTAAGGTATTTATTATAAGAGATTCAATATTAGCAATAGAAAATGATATCTTTATTATCTAAAATATTATTGATAGTATTGGTAATGATACCTTTAGTTTCTTTAGTAATAAAGTCATTTTTACTAATTTCATATATTGTCAAAGTACTTATGCATACTATTTGTTCAATAAAATTTCAGAAAGTTCTATTTTTTCTAAAAAAATTTATTATATTTAAATTGAGTTTTCTGACAAGCCAAATTATTTCTGAAAACCTAAGAATTTTGCAATAGCTACGTTTTTTTTAGAGAAATATGAGATAATATGAGTAATAAGTTGTAAAAAAGTTTTTGTATCTTTAACGAAATTGTTGCTATAAAATTCTAAATTATAGAAGTTATAGTATTAGAAATTATAAATGTATTTATTTACTATTTGTATTTTAGTTTGTTTAATAAAAAATTATTTTTAAAAGTTTTTAATATTTTTGAAAAAAAATGGTCAAAAAATTTCAAAAAAGAATCTAAGGAATCATGAGGATACAAATGGTAATTATTTTATGATATTGACTGAGATTATACTCTTTATTTTTAGATATTTTAGATACTATTTGTAAAATAAAATTAATATTGATATGATTTACTGAGATTATATTAAGGGATATAATTTGATCTGACTATATAGCAGGCGATTTTCTTACATTAAGAAATTGATGTGATTATATTATTGTGATTATAAAAGGTATAATTTGACTAAGTGATTATATAGTAGGTGACTATAAAGGGGGTCGATAGATGGAGTTTAATTACGTAATCACAAAAAGGCATATCTCATCAAATTTTGATATTTCGAAAGATATCTTGGAATAATAAAAAAAGATAAAAAAAAACCTTTAAGTTTCGGGAGTGAAGAAGAGAAAATTTTACAGTGGTTAAATGACAATACCATGATAGAACTTTCAAACCATGATTCTTCAACAAAAAAGCGTAGTCTTCGGTCGACAAAGCGCGCGCCAGATTCGAAGAATCCACGAGTCACTTCAATAAGTGAACCAATACCTTTACTTGAGGAATATGGTTATGGGAAATTCAAACCACTTACAAACGTATGTTTTAGACATGACTAATCTTTTATCATATTCTGAAAATTTTAACTGATTATTGGGTTGTTCCTGTATTAGATAATGTTCGCTGGGTGTCTTGGTGGTTCGACTGCCGATTTTTTGATGCATAGGTATATAATAGAAATTTTTTTATTACATCTATAAATTCATTTCATTTGATCGATTTATCTCTCTTATTTTTTTTATTTAAAAAAAAGCATTGATACAGTAAAAACTCGATTGCAAGGTCAAAAACTAGCTAAACCTCCAAAATATCAAAATATGCTGCATGCTTATGCTACGATAGTTAAGCAAGAAGGTATAATGCGTGGATTGTATGGTGGTGTTGCTCCTGCGATGTTGGGTTCAGGTAATATATAAATCTTGGGTTTTCTTG